GAAATCACAAGAAGAGATGTCTTCTTTGTCAATTTTCAAAAAGTCTTGAGAATACATCACAATGAATGTGATTACAGATCTTCCATCAAGTCAGAATTTTGAGAAAGTGAAATTCAACTGTATTCTGATCATTATGAATCAGTTTATGAAGATGTCTTACTTTGTTTCAGTTAGAAAAGAGCTGACATCTGAACAACTTACTGAATTGATTATGCATGAGCTAGTCAGATTGCATGGACTTCTCTCAAGCATAGTCTCTGACTGTGAATCAATATTTGCAAGTGAGTTCTGAAGAGATCTGTTATATCTTCTTAAAGTTGATAGAAGAATAAGCACAGCATTTCATTCTTAAATAGATGATCAGACTAAAAGACTGAATAGTACTCTTGAACAGTACTTACAAAGCTTCATCAATTATGAACAAAATAACTGAGTTGAGAAATTGTCTCATGCAGAGTTTACTTACAACAACTCTAGACAATTCTCAACAGAGAAGAGTCTCTTTGAGCTTTTGATGATAAGTCATCTGCAGATGGATTTTCTGAGAGCAGAAATATTAGTGTCAGTCACAACTGAGTCTTATAAACTGACAGATCAGTTGAAAGAGCTGCATAAGATGACTTAAGAGAGTCTTATAAAGACACAAGTCTATTAAAAGAGCTACTATGACAAGAAACATACTGCAGTATCATTTTACAAAGATGATCAGATGTGATTAGATCTTTGTAACATTAAAATAATGCATTTTAGCAAGAAGTTGGATGTTCTTCAGCACAGATCATGCTGAATTGTGGAAAAATTGAGACTCCAAATCTATTGATTGAAACTATCATCAGAACTGAGAGTACACAATGTGTTTCATGTGTCTCTCTTAATCAAACATAAGAAATGGGAGAAAGTGAATAGTCAATCACATCACTCAATTCATGAGACATTTTCTGTAAAGCAAGAGTATCAGATACAGAAGATTGTTGACTTCTGTAAGAATAACTGAGCAATTGAATATCTTGTGCAGTGGCAGAGATATGAGAAAAGAACTTAAGAGTCTTCAAAGAATGTAAGACATCTAGATAAGAAGCTGTTTGAGTTTCATAAAAAGCATTCAGACAAGTCTGATCTATGTTGTATTCTGAGAATGTGCACTTAGAGAGATCTTGTTAGATTTGTAAAGATATTTATGAAGCAGTTAGAGATTGATTTATGAAGCAGAAGAGCAGTGGTCTGAGTAGTGAATCAATTTAGAAGAAAACTCAGTCTGTAAAAGCATTTACAACTATCAAGAAGTAGTTCATGAAGCAGAAGTAGTGAATTTACTCTAAAATAAAAGAAAGAACTAGACTATTAATGACTGAAGCTCACAAGAGAAAGAGAAAACTAGACTATTAGTGATCAAAGTTCACAGTAACAAAAGAAAGAAAACAAAAAGACAACTCTAAGAATTGAAAGAATAAGTTTTGTGTGTCTGATAGACACAGTTATTACATCTGTCTCTATCAAGAGAATTTGTGACACACTGTCTCAATGAAGAATTTAAGTTACTCTGACATGCTGTACATGACTGCTGAGAATAATTATCTGTCATGATGATCAGAACTTCTTTCTGAAGCTGGACTCTATCTCTCAGTTGAACAGAGTCTGTTAGATCAGTAAGAGTTGCAGATCAAAGAAGAGAGAAAGCAAGAAGTCATCTCTCACAATTAGATGAATTCTGATCTGAAATTAAGAGTGAAAGATGACTCATAGTAATCAGTGTTCTGACTGACAAGTTAACAGCTGAAGCAGAGATCAGAGAAGCAGAAGCAGAAGCAGAAGCAGACACAGCAGATAGAGAAGAAGTTGATGAGACTGACTTCTAAAGAAAGAAAAAGCATTAGCTGAGACTCTCAATATCACTTTATAAATGAATTTACAAAGCAGAAACTGTCTTATAAGTCATGTTATGAAGCAACTCAACATATCTTGAGTGTATTGAAGACAGAATCAATGCTAGAGAATGAACACAGCATAGAAAAGAACACAGACTGAGAACATAAATGTGATAGAAACAGATCAGATCAAGAAAAACAGAGTGACACATTATCAACAAGAGTTTCAGATTTGAGAGATGAATGATCACTCTCTCTCAAGATCTGATCAACTAAGACAACAGAGCTAGTAGTCAAAAAAGAATTGTTACTAGACACAGTAGACATCATTGAGTGTTTTCATTAAGCTTAAATATTAGTGCTCTGAATATGCCATCAGCCATGCACACAGAAAAGAGAATTATGGAGTGAGAAAACACTTCATAAAGAATATTTCAGACTTTGTAAAAGTAATTATGAAGCATTAAAAGAAGAAGAAATGAAAGAATATCACTTACATCATCATAATCAGAATCAGACTGACTGAGCTGTGATGTCTGAAAAGAGATCTCAAAGTCTTCAGAGACATAACTCTCTGTTGCATAAATGAAAATCAACAGCAATGATGCTTCTTCACTTTAATTTTCTTGAGAAATGACAGTAGTTAAGAACTCTACTTCAGATAGAGTAGAAGATTCTGAAGACATCTCTTGCATTGTCTCTGAAGAGAATCTTAAATGATGACTGATTGAGATTTTATTCCCAAACTTATTGAGTCATTATTGCTCACATTTTGACATCTTAATTTAAATGAAAGAGAGACATGACAAATTATCTCTCTGCATAATGTATTAGCACTGAGAAAAGCCTTTATGAAGTCTCTCAAGATTTATAATCATCAAGAAGAGAATGCTTGTCTAGAACTCTTATTAAAATAAAGAAGAATGTTGTTGAAAAAGAAAAAGAAAGAGAGAGAGAAAGAAGATCAAGAAAGAGATATTTATATTCAAAAAATTACTGATTATCACTAGATGAATCATGAAAAATGACAGTCACTACAGCAACTATATTACAATCACAGAGAAGCTGTCACTCTTGCTGTGATCTTACTGTCACATCTACATCTAGAAACTAAGATTGAATTAAGACTCTGTGCTGCAGTCTTCTTACATTCATCACATCAAAAAGAGATTTTGTACAAAATTGTTACAATCACAGTGAAGCTGTCACTCTCACTGTGATCTTGATCACATCAATGTCTTAAAAATCAAGACTTGTGAAGAGAAGAGAATCTGTAAGACTCTGTGCTGTGATCTTCTTACATTCATTCCATCATCTAAAAGAGATTTGTAAAATCTTCTTGATGCTTAGATAATCATGCTTCATGACATCTGAAATTTATAAACTTCATGACTGATCACATGATCACACTAGCAAAGCTGAGCACACAAAATCTGCCACAGATGCTTCTTTACAAAGATCAGTGACAATATATCTAGAGACTCTAGATACTGTTGTAGTAATACAAGTTATCTCTCTCTCTCATGCTTAGATCCCTTCATAACCACTTCTCACTCAACCTAACCTCATTTACAAAGGCTGTAAGCCATTGCCACATTACCTGCAACCACCCAATCCCCACAGCTTTGACTCTTTCAAATTCAAGAATCTTTTCAGAACTATGAGTGTTTTCTGACAGTCAAGCTGCCATTCAGAGACTCAATGCACAGAATATGAAAACTGAACTGTTCTACATTGAATCAATTAGAAAAATTGCTAAACAACTTGAGTCTAAAGACATTAAGTGTCATCTTCACTGAATTTCAGCTCACATGAACATCTTTGGCAATGAAGAAGCTGATATTGCTGCAAAGAAAGCAACTGAATTGAGACAAGATTGTGCTGAAAAGTATGTTTTCTTTGCTTACATCAAGAGACAAATTAAAGAAATGACAATGCTTGAATGACTGAAACACATCTTTGAAAATGAAAGTGATGTAAATCACTACTCTCAATTCAATTCAAAATCAAAGTGAAAAGTTTGTTCACTTTCATTTTCCAAACAGATTTGGTCAACAATTATTCAGTTGAAATTGGGTCATGATTACTTTGGTTCTTACTTAATAAGACTACCAAATCATGATAGGAAAATCTGCAGACATTGTGGCTGCAAAGAAACACCAAAACATTTGCTCATGAATTATTTAAGTCTGAAAGATGACAGACAACAGTGTTTGAAAGAGTTTAAAATTCCACAACTGTCACTTAAGTTTCTATTTAACACTGAATTGGGTTTGAAATGAATGGGAAAGTTTCTTAAACAAACTGGAATAGTCATCAGAAGATGACTTCTGAATGAAACAGACTGAGTATCTTTAAAGATCTCACTTACAATCTTATTATTTGTTTTCAAATTTCTGTGAAGGAAAGACATAAATTACTGCCCTGACACTATTGTATGTTTTTCATTTGTTAATTTGTCTATGATCATGTCTCTGATCATTGTTTTTGTAACTTAGTTAAATCCTGCAAGACAGCTTGCAGGTAGTCTTCATAGTCTCAGACTGCACAAGACTATAATGAATAATAATAATAATAATAATTACCGGGGATTCGAGATGTGGGGTAACTTCTGGAAGCAACAGCTGGGCAACAGCTCGACTACGCCCAAGAAGACGCCTCCCTCGGCCCAGGAACTGTGAGCTGAGATAAAATGCTCAAGGATGTAATCGCAGGATCTCGCCTGTTAGATGCTGGGATGGTAGTGTAGCCATGCACGTGAATAACGGAATAAACGGTACGAAATTGATATCTACCTGAATACCATAATGCGGTACTCGCACCTGTACTACTACTATCTTCAGAATGGACGACTATACTGTAGTTTGTTGGCTATTTGGTCGGGTGATAGATGGCGATTAGAAAGAGGCATGAGTGAACGGTCTGAAGCGAGCCTATGGGACATCGAAAATATCGAGTTGGTAAACATGCTGAGCGTGTAGTTGTCTATAACAGCGGTCCATGGAGCTTGGAAATGATACCCAATGAAAAACGCCTCATTGCTGTAAGTAATTGAAACTGATAAACGAGGCGGATTGGTGTAGTATAAACAACAACTCAGTACCAGTAGAGATAAAAAAAAGCACCAATGCTGAATCATAGTTGCAACTCACGCAATCCTTCACCTTCGATGTACTCAGTACCAAAGCATTCTCTCTGCAATGCCTCGAGGATTTCCCTGTCACCACCAGTGAGTTTCTTCAAGTATTCCTCCAGAATGTAAATGTTATCCGTCCACGTCTCAGCTTCCCCTTTGCAGCGCTTAATATCAGCCTCCATCATATCAACCCCTCCACCAGCTCTACCATTTATATACTGATCCAGTTCCCTGTTTAGGCTCGAAACCTCTGCATCTAAGGCTTGCTTTTTTAACAGCAGTCCAGCTCGTTCTGCCTCCTCCTCTGCACCTTGGCCAAATCCAGCCTCCTCTTTTGCTTGAGAGACTTTGCCCTCTAAATCGGAGACTGACTTATTGACCTTTTCCAAGTCGCTGGCTAATGCATTCCGTACCTTCTCACGCGCTTTTCTTTCCTCCCCAGCCCATGCCCAATACCAGTTTCCACTGCCAATTTTCTCAACGTGTATTTTACCGTCGTCTGCTAGTGCTTGGATATAGTCTTTCACTTGCATAGCATTAATGGATGCAACAGATGGAAGCATTTTTTCAAGGTCTTTAAGCGTGTGGCAGGTCCGTGTCGAGCGGAGATGAGCCAAGATCAGTGCTTGTTTGGCAGCAGGTGGAAGAGATTTCGGTGGACCCTAGAGAGTGTGTTAATGGAATTGCATCGCTAATCACGAATGGCACTCACCATTGTGTCTGAGAATGAAAGAAATCGTTCTTCTGCCGGATTACTTGAGATAGGAGGTTCAGTCGTCTAATCGGAGGAGGTACGTACGAGGAAGCGCGTGATGAGGCTCAACATTCCCCTTTTTGGAACAGTGGACACACCGAATTGCCGGTTTGGGAATGTATTCGCGCATCGAAACCATCTCTGGCGAGATACCCGCTGAAAGTAGGCTAGCTGCATCAGAGGTGCATACCTGTACATTATCTCTTCGTTGGCCGAGATCTCTTCACTTTTTTCCTGTTTTTTCTAGCCTCTGAAAGAGCCAGATCCTCCTCCGTGAGCCCAAAACCCCTCACCCTTGCTTTTTTAGTATCTTCATCCACGGGCCAGGGCGAAGCTGATATAGAGCGTCCCTTAGACAAGGATTTGGCCTCCGATTCATAACCAGATGCTTCACCATCAGTCACCTCTTCCCCTTCAACAAACACCATGTCGCCGGTTTCTCCCAGGGCCTCGGTGGCAGTTTCTTCCAGCAGAATCCCTAGTGCAATGAGAGCAGTTTCGTCCATACTCAACCAGCCTGCGTGGCCATTATCTGAAGTCATACTAGCATAAAGGTCTGAGGTATATGTATGGAGCGTTTTTAGCAAATCCGAATCTGGTAGGGTCTGATCAGGGGGGAGATGTCGATTGGCAAAGTATATATCATCTTCTTCGTACCGCACAGGCGCGTGCAGTCGGCGAAATAGGACTTCCTCTGGTCGAAGAGCGGTACGCGTGCTTGGTAGACTATCGAAATCGTTCAGAGCAGGTGCGCCGGTAAAATGCTCAGTTGACACCCGCCCTTTTGAAAAAAGTTAGAAGCCTAAAAGGCCACGAGAAATATAGGCAGGATCCCGCACCAGCAACGGCATCGTAAAGAGTTGCACAGCGTTTTTTAGAGATTGATGGAGCATGGTCTTCTTGTACTGACTTTGAAATATTACTGTCTTCGTCTTGAGGCATCGCAACAAGATTTCACAAAAGTTTGTGGATCTCCACAGCTTCAATCCTGTCTTAAGCTTCTCTGTACGGAGTACGGAGTAGTTAACTATCTAGTCGCGAACTAAAACTAGGCATGCGGAGCTGGTTGATCCGAGGCCGATGATATATTTAGCCGCCTCATAGCAGGCGCTTAGACAACAAGACGAAACCCAACGAGTACCTACATACAGCTCTTGTGAAAGACATTCCCCTTACAAAGGGCCGTGGGGCATACTGATGAATGAATTCATATTTTCTTAATAGATCTCAAGGATCTATAACTCCTTTCACCTTCCATACTGCGCAATGCGCTCGACTGTTGCAATGCCTTGCTCCAGCGCCTGGGATTCGGTTCTCCAGCGCGCCTCCACCATCAGTAGGAGATGATTCCTCGGAAATAAGTGACGCGGACGAGCCTGGCCATGGTGAAGTATGGGCGCATAAAACAGGGGCGAATGTGCTAGCTATTGACCATAATGAGAAGCGCTTGTACGATTTCTCTTTCGTATACTCCGTGCACCTATCACGAAGACATGGCTCTCTAATGTGATCTGCTACAGTCTGCTCTCAGGAGGTGCAGATGCTTCCGTTAACTTATGGGATTTGGATAGTCGTGGAGCAAACTTAAGTCATCTTCATAGATCCACTGCATCCCTTTCCAGGTTTGTCGTTGAATCTGCACCGAAGACACCAGGGACTAATGCGAGTTAGATCCACAAACACAGAGGCACACACTCGTATGTTGACATCGATGTCAGTATATCCCTTCGATCCCACCCCATCGACAATCTTGACTACTTCTCACGACACGACTCTTAAAATTTCTTCACTCGGTCAATCAGAAATTACGCCAGTTCACACTTTCACTCTCAATCGCATACCATACTCTCATTCCTTGTCATCTAACCCGGCAAATCACCTTATCATTGGTGTTGGAACATCTGATAAGGCCGTTCGATTGCTCGACCTTCGCTCCGGACACTCCATCCACTCTTTACCTGGACACACAGGCGCGGTTTTATCTGTTGAATGGGCCCCCCATAATGGGCATCTCATTGCATCTGCTTCAAAAGATAATCGTTGTCTAATATTTGACATTCGCCGTGGCAGTCGAAAGTCTGCCGTCGCCTCATTAGATATGGATGATGCCATCGGAGTTGTCGCACCCCGCACTGCCCCGCGTACGTTCGAAGCTCGCGATCCCTTCACAAAGGATTCTCGTGCTCACAATGGCGCCGTTACTGGCATACGCTGGAGTCCACTTGGCAACTACATTATCACCTCTGGCCAAGATTCCCGCTTACGCGTCTGGGATGCAAACACTGGCGCAAATACGCTCATGCATTTTGGTCCAAGGATCCGCAATAGCGCATCGCTGCACTTAGTTGAACGTGCACCTCTCATTATTCCCGACCACGACCTTACCTTCCCAGAGACTGGGCCTATTTTCATCTGGCCAAACTATTCTGACCCTGACGACCGCGGCGAGATATTCTTTTTCGGCCTCCGTGGGGAGGGTGAGCATATCCTGCATCTAAAGGTGCCCGGCGTACCGTCACGCGAGAGAATGCGTGCCATTGGTAAACCTTCGGCTCTAACTGCGGCGCGCATAAATGCACTCGCCTGGCGAGGAAACGGTGGATCTGGGGAGGGGTTGGAGTTGTTTTCGGCGCACGGAGATGGGAAAATACGTTGTTGGGCTTCGAGAGTGGAGGAGGAAGATGAGGAAGAAGAGGAGGAACAAGAAAATGAAGAGGAGGATAGAAAAAGGAAGCGAGAGGTCCTTGAGGATATATATAGAGAGCTGATGCAACCAGGGGTGCGATTTACCTGACTCTCTAAGGGCGTTGAAGCGTCACGCAGAAACGACGCCACCAGTCGCAATGTGCTCCTATTACATATTTCTCCATTCCACGAGCCTTCCATCTAGTGCGCCCCTACAGAGAGACAGCCCTAGGCCTACTTTACGTGAGTGCTTTACTCTGTACTCTGTGCTCAAATACCTATCATAACAGTACTCTAGAACTAACGAACGTAGTGAGTGGGCTCCGCTCGTAGCATTCTATATCTCTATGGAACCGGGTGTCAGAATGGAGACTTTGCGACAAAGGCAATTTCAACATCTTCAAAATACGAGAGGAAATGGGTATCTATTTCAAACTTGACTGCAGATGCGATTCGTATGCTAGTATTACTCATGCACCCCGAAGTGCATCATCACTCAATCGACCTCTTCATGATCCTGGAAAGGCCAATGCTGCTCCACACAAAGGCGGTCATCATCATCCTCTGCCTCTGCATACCACTCCTTTTTGAGCTTCTGGTTGGTCGCAGCCACCTTGTCGTATGATTCGTTCCGCACCCAGCCATCCTGGCTCACATTATCCAGAAGAGATCGCCAGTATTCCACCAAAATATTTGCTTTAAACCACTTATCCTCAGTTTCAAAGAATTCCTCTTGTTCTTTCTCGTCGAAAGAGACAGGGCATTTGACAGTCCCGGCTTTTCTTCCAAGTATTAGATCCCAGTTCATGACAACACGAAGAACTGCACCCTTCAAAGTGACTGTATTTCCAGTCCACTGATGTCCGGCTCGTTCTACCAGGTGTTGCCGAGGCATCGCAAGTGGGTGCCGGAGGGCATCAAGGTGAGGCTTGTTATCTTTCCCATTAAAAATCATGTATAACCAAAATAACATTCTCCGCCGGTGCAGCTCATCGGCTTGGGATCTTTCATCAGCACGTAAATTTTCATAGTCCGGTGGGAGAGATGGTTTATCAAAATTTTTTGGAGGCTCGTCGTCAGGATTATCAAACATAGGTGGGTTGCCTGATACCAACAAAAGTGGAAGGATGGCTGTATACTGCCAGTCAATGAGACAAGATACTTCGCATGTGTCAGATACGAAAATATTGCCTGGATTGAGGTCTATGAGAAGTTAGCCTGAATGTAAAGATACGAGGAGCGCATACGTACCTGGGTGACGTAGGGTGGGTTGATTTAGAGGACTATTAGGGTCCTGTGGTAAAAGATAAGGAGCAAGTAGCAAATACTTCTCCAATAGATCAATATACGTGTCTGGATGAGCCTTTGATGGCAATAAAATGCAATGAGGAAAGTCATTTCTGAGAGGGTTGCCAAACTTCTTCGTCCACTCTAACTCACGCCGGCCAACATCATGAAGATATTCACGGTGATCCACCCCTGTAGTGGTAAGTCAAATACAAATTATGATTGAAGAGAATTCAATACTAACATGGCCCTCGATGTATATCAAAGTCTGCTCGTCTTCCACGCCAGAAGGTGTAATCCGCGATGGGTCCAATGCAAAACCGGCTTGCAGCATCGCCATCAGCCTGAGATCCAGGGGCATATAAATTGGCTTGGAGATGTTGCGGCAAATTCTTCTTATAATGCAAGCTCCCATGTGCACCAAAACGGAATGAGAAAAGCCTTTTCTCAATGTTAACAAAGCTGGTAACCAAATTTACTCTTTCTTTGGCAGACAGATTGAACCAGCAGTCTGTCAGAGGCTTTCCAGATGCTTTCTCCATGATGATATACTCAGTGCCAACCTCATTGTCTGTTTTGGAAGACCATGAATAGACTTTGGGAACAGGGATGCCATTGGAGTGCAGGAAATCCAAGGTAGCAACCTCGCTCTCAGTTGTAAACATTTTTGGGACTGTATGCAGGTAGGGTATCTTCACGATGGCTTCAAAGCCATCATTCATTGTGAGAAGGAAAACCCTGTTGAATCCCCCCTCCGCAAGTTTGGTGATGCCCGTGACCGACTCTCGACCTACAGATCTGGCGGCAATGCTCTTCAATGCACGAACATTAAACTCAACATGCCTCTCGATAAGCCGAAGTTTTTCATTGTAAAGATAGCGACCGGAGGTGTACGTGAACAGATCTCGTTCTTCGGGCGCCATAGTCGAGTAACGCGTTTTGAATGGGAACAGGTTTGGAGAGCGAGGAGGAAATGGGATCGGAACCGGCCTCGGAAATATTTGGCGCAGGGAGGAAAGGATTGTAGAAGGGAATGGCTGTATAGCGATTCTTTGACTGAAGAAGGCTCTCATCATTTTCTCTTCTCGATAGCACCAGGCCCCAAGAATCTCATCATTTTTCCTACTGCCTTGACTTGTGGCACGATAACCTCCGCGCGTATGTAGACAATAGACCGCAAGCACTGCCTCGAGCTGGTTAACGCTCCACACTTCCCCAAAGGCCCCAAACCAGCCCTGAAGGTGGCCCCCACACCAGGCCCTGCATAGTTAAACCTCCCCCCAAGCCTGCCCTTAGAAACCACTAACGAACTAGTTATGTTTTCATAGCTAAAGATGATCGGCTGGCTACAATTTCGAAGTGAAGTTATCCACTCCGTAGCAATTGAAACAAACAGCCCTCATATCAATGATCATTGAGCCCATCAATTTCTTTCTCTACGAGCAAAAAAACAAAAACATACAACAGCCGGGATTCGCTGGTGGTCACCCACCCAACTACTAGCCGGCCGGCAAGTGGCTTAAGTACGGCTGAGCGGACGGGAAGCCCTGTATTCCACTTCCTGTGGTCGTATGTGCTCTGGTTCACTGAACACCTATTGATTAGGCCTCGGTATCGACATGATTCTGGAGCTTGGTTTCTACTCTCCTCGGCAGTACCTCTGTTTTTAGCCTCCCTATATCGAGTTGTCTTTGGCGCTTTCTGTCCGTCCCAAATTCCATAGCTATTGAAGCAACAGCCAGCAGACAATGAGAGCTTGCGCCCCAGTACAAATGGCGCGAACTTGGGCCAAAGGTTTCACTCTTTCAGGATGTGTTTCAACGGCGGCGGCCTGGATGGGGGTTTGGTGTGGCCATTTGCGAACTTGACGATGGGCCTTTTGTCATCTTTACTGCGCACACTCTCGCTTCGCTATGGCTATGTTTCCAGGTAATTGGTGACATTGGCTTAGCTTTGTCCCGAATTTTGCGTTCCTCTCCAGGCCGTAGTGGTTGGATTGCAGATGCGCCCCACAAGGGAAAACCTTCGGTGCCGTAATTCAACTTACAGTTCGGGAATTTGGAAGGTTCCAAATTCCAACAAGCGCCCGATACCAAGAGTCAAGGAGGTCCAACCTTGTTGCATAGGACTTCCGCCCTATCTAATATTTTTGCTGAGCTTTTCTAACTTTGCTTTTCCTTATTTCTGACTACTGGTCGATCGATCGTTTGCATCAAATCTCGCACCTATGGCTTTACAACTTGAAAATCCTCAGCCAGCCGCCCAAATTGTTGAGGTCGTTGCAGTCGAGCGTACAGCTGCCCGAAAAAAAGGACGAGCCGTTGTTCCCCATGATCCCGCCGTCGCTTTTTCCCCGCTTTGCGACGACTCAGTACAGGGTTATCCAACTGATAAATGTCCGAAAGGAAATGGGGTAGCAGAGATCAAGGAGGTGGTAGATATTCTTCACGCTGAAAAAATCCCTAGCTGTCTAGTGGCCGAATCCGCCCTAATATACTATGGTGCCGGCCGCATCATGCATGTATGACAGTCCATTAGTACTGAACTGAACCAGTCGTTGACCTTGATCGCGATTCAGGATTGGCATATTTGTCTCCCCACAGAACAATTGGAACAAGCAACAGATCTATTTCGGGAGAGGCCTGAGTGCTACATTCCATTTCGACGGTCAGCCCTCAGCTATTCCGAGCGAATTGATTTTGCCTATCCCCGATTCAAGCTTGCTGGTTGAGCCTCTTCTTCATTCTCATGCCCTCTGAAGCCTGCCACTTAGATGTCACACCGGCAAACATTGAGTTTAGCGCCATGGGTCTTCCGTACCCCACATTACCAGTATTTGCCCAAAGTCTTCTGGACGGAAATCCTGATGTGGATCTCGAAGATCTTATTGACGGCATGGACCTGACACTTGATTGGGGTGAACAGCATCTTGACCTGGGAGGCACAGTGGATGCTGACTGGATATGGTGGAGATTCAGCATTGCGTATGACTTCAACTACGAAGATGAGAGACCTCCCTGGTATTCAAGTCCCGACAAGCGGCGGGATGTCTGGGCTAAACAAACCTCGCCTGAAGCCAAAAAGACACGGCAGTCTTGGAAATATCGGCCCAATTATGCAACAAGATTTCGAAAAATTGGCAGCAAAGACCCACGTTCTCTATATAGGAATTATTGTTAATTTTACATGCTGTCAACTGGTCTTATTCCCTTAAAGCTGGGTTTCAATTTGGGCCGGCATAGGAGATAATCAACCTTTCCGGATACAGCGTCCCACGGCTAAGAGCCAGACACAGTGGGGGGCCTTTATGTTTTCGTCGACACAAAGGATTACCGTGCTTATAGCTTTCTTGTAGTTAAGAGGGTTCCTTTTTGTTTAATTTTGACTCCCTATTGTTCTGTTCCATCTTGATAGTTTCACAGGCATAAACGTAGGTCATGGAATACTGAAAGGTGCCCACTCAAACATCATTGGAGATCTTGTGACTTGAACTGTCTGTCGAACCAGATCTGCTCCTCAATTTGGTTGTCTCTTCAATTTGCATTGATCTGTTTTGATGGATCTACAGCTGGTTTTTGAAGCAGTACTCTGGGTACTACTTTGTGCAATTTTTTCATTATTTCATCCATCTGGAATCTTTTTTTTGATCAGATCAGTTGTTGATCATGCATATTAATTCAGACATTTTGGTCTTTGAGCCACTTACATTCAATAATCAATGAACGCTGTTCCAGCTCTGCCAGAAACATGAAAACTCTCAAAAATTGCTAACCATTCAGTCACAAATGCAGAAAAATAACATGAATCCTACCTAATGTTGATATCTGGAAGAAAGGTGAACTTGTCATGCTTCTCGAAGTCTCCAAGGATGTTCGCACTGAGGAATTTTATCTTGGTTATTTTGGTATTGCAATGAAAGTTGGAGATTCTACGGTTCAGCACGGCTATCCACCTCTAGAATTCTGCTCCCCAGATCGACTTCATGGAGAACGCCCAAGCTTTGCCTGCGACATGTGGAGCTACATGGTTATCTTCTCAAAGCTTTATCTCGGCTACTCACCGATCTCTTCCTGGCTTGATGGAGGAGCTGTATCTAGCATGGCCCGATGTTTAGGGCCACTTCCTGAAAAGTGGCGAGGCCATTATGTCCATTCTAAAAAGCTTGATTCCTGGTATGATCAGTCAAAAACACCTGATTCAAAACATACCCTTGCGGCAAAAATTGCACATTTTCGCCCTGATGCTGATCCAGCCGAGCAAAGGGATGTGCTCTCCATTCTAACCCGGGGATTTAGCTACTGCCCAGAAAAGCGACTCACGGCAACTGAGCTTTTACAGGACCCATCATTCCTAGCTATTATGGCGAGATATAATTGCTGATGTTGCATTATCTAGAATTCCCTAATTCTTTTGCCTTGTATTTCTTCGGCCTCTAGGTTCACAGTTTAATGACTTTCATAGATTTCAAGACTGCAATCGAGTCAACGAACTATTGTATACCTTTTTAGACTGATAAATGTTAACTATATGAGCAGAGCTTGCTCACTTTGTTCACTACTCTAACTCTTGATAGGGGCTGCTAAGTGCTCATTCTATAATATAAGTACGAAGGGCGAAGAACGGCGTCCCGCATGCACTTGGACTCAGTACGGAGTACTATGTCTGTAACTTAGATACGGAATACTCCATACCTCACGACGAGGCTAGCCTCATGAACTAACTAACCTTAAAAGGGCATAGTGCAATGCAAAAAGCACGCTACGGAACTTTCTGCACTTCGTCTGAGATGCCGCGGTAAAAGATGGGTGTTCTTCAGCCAATCCGGGGAACGGAACAATTACACTTCCACGATTAGTGACATCACCGATTTCGCGATGGTTTTGGATCCGTGGGCGGGAGATGTGCCGGAAGGACTGTTGTCCCGCCGCGCCTGGTGATCAAGTTTCATCGCGGATCGCAATCTTATATATTCCGAGCACCACGGCAGTACGTACAACTGCAGATTTCAAAATGTTGTCTCTCCACATCAATTCCTACTCTCCCCCGTCGGGGTACCAGGTGTCCGAGCTGCCAAAGCCCGAGCTGAATGGTCCGAAAGATGTGATAATCAAGGTCCACGCAGCAAGCATCAACCCGGTTGATGTAAAAAAGGCCGATGGAATGATGAAGCTTCTGGTCACTGAGCCGTGAGTTCAATCCCCATTTCGGTGACTTTGGCTTATACCCTTAAAACCCAGATTTCCCTCTAAAATCGGCTATGATTGCGCTGGTGTAGTCGCCGAGATAGGCAAAGAGGTGACCCGGTGCAAAGTTGGCGATGCAGTCTATACAAGATTACCAGAGCCGGCAAAAGGTACGGGCTCCAGCCCTGGCCAAACATGGCTGCTCCTCTAACAAGATTGTTGGCCGCAGGATCATGCAGTGAGTTTGTTAGGTGTCCGGAGGAAGAAATCGCCCTCAAACCGCCTTCATTGTCCTTCGAGGATGCAGCTTCGATCCCACTCGCGGCTATGACAGCCCTCCAAGCGCTTAGAAAATATGACGGAGATCTGGCTGGGAAGACTGTATTTGTTCCATCAGGCTGTATGTTATTCTTACGCCCTGCATCCGATGTGTTTAGCTAAAGGACTTTGGCAGTGAGCGGAACCGGATTATTCGCTTGCCAGCTCGCAAAGCACGTTTTCCACGCTGGAAAGGTGATCACCACTGTCTCAACATCAAAAGTCCCAAAAATCAAGGAACTCCTGGGAGAGGGAACAGTCGATGAGGGTAAGGCCCGCCCATAAATTCATTCAAAAACAGCAGCTAATTTCTCTCAAAGTCATCGACTACACCAAAGTCGAGCCGAGAATGGTCATTGAACACGGCACCGTCGACTTTCTATTCGACACCGTCGGCCAATCCATGGAGTATCTCTGCTTGATGCGTCTCAATTCCGGCCGGATCGTGTCCATCGCGACAGTGCCGTCGGGCGAACAGCTGCAGAATTCGTCGTTGATGAGGCAGCCCCATCTGCCTTCCATACCCGCGCCTTTCCGGATGGGGCTGAATGTCATGGATTCCGTCCGCAAGTTCCGTGCGCGGCGGTATGGTGTGGATTACTCCTACATGTTCTTGGAGTCGAGCGGAGCCGATCTGGACGAGCTGCGGAAGTATGTGGAGGAAGGGAAACTGAAAACGGTGGTTGGCACCATTGCTGACCTGAGAGATGTTGACGCCGTGCGGAAGGCCTGCCAGATCGTGTACAGTGGCAAGGGCGGCCTTGGGAAAGTTGTTATCAGAGTTGTTAATAGTGAGAGCTGATAGGGAAGTGCTGTCTGAAAATCTTTTGTAATATATTCTTTAATTTTTAAAACTTCACGAATTCAACGACGTGTGACTGGTTTAGCATCAAAGTTGCATCAAATCTTGACCATTCTTAGCCCCTATCCGATCATCTGCCTTGGGAAACGATACTCCAGTTTAGGACCCAAATCAATAGGGCTAAAACAGTGGATCATTAGACCAAACTCTGCAGCTTTGAAATGACCACCAAAGCCACAACCCTAGATCTTTCGCTCTTGTTCTCTTTCGCCTTATTCTGCCCCTTAAAAAAAGTATGATTTGAAGTCATCCTTCACCACTCAGCCAAGGCCAGTGAAAGTAGATATTGATATTACTTCCATCAACATGAAATGTGGTCCACAAATCCGGAAGAATGTTTGTTTGGTGGGAATGAAAAATGACCAAGGTAAAGGTTTACCGGGCAGAAATTCATAACTGTCCCTGCCTCTAGCTTCTAGACTGCTGGAGGCACGGGAGCTGAATCCAGCACATCCGGATACTCCTCCCTCAAAGAATAGCTGTACAGCGGTATTACTGCTGGGGCAATAGGTGGTATCAAAATAGCCAAAGAAAGTCGCAAGAAAACTCAAGAAGGAAGAACTATCAAGCAATGCTTGATGGCAGTGATGACCGGGTGATCCTAGCCCAGCATGCATCAAAACGGGAAAGCCATCAGCCACGGGGTAGCGCGCACCTTCCATCGTCGCGAAAAGCTTCCTGGCCACAGAAATGGGAGCTGGCAGAAGCCATGAAAGTCCCCGGGAGTCGAGTGATGAGATACGAGAAGCACGTCTCAAAACGCCAGTCTTGCAAGGGACGCTGTGACTCGCGCAGAGAGCATCGTTGAAATGATTTCACCAGCTGACTACCTGTTATCCTCGTACATGCTCCGTATTCCATCGCGATTCGCGACAGGTCGGGTCCCTCCAGCAACGCTCAAACCTATCAATACTCAATCACAATCACCATCGCCATCCACCAATGCACACTCCCAAACTCCAATTAACGAATCAGCCCTCTAAGCCAGGGAGCAACTTCCGAAATCACACCAAACCCCTGCTCGCAAATCACACAGACACGCAAAATCCAAATATCGAGGCGAAAAAAGCTTTGCGGGCCAAGCCTGCTTGACGCCCGGCTCCAGCCTAGGGTTTCTTTGGAAATGCGGGTCAGGGGTCATGGGAGAGAGTCGGTCGGCGTTGCCCGTTTTTCCACTTCCCCGCCCCTGGCCTTCCAGCGAGACGCCCGCGCCGCCCCGTCGAGATGAGTCGTGGTGATGTGATTGTGATTGTTTTGAGCTAGCGCGCCGATAGCTGTGTGGTTTTGTCTGTGATATTCTTTGCGAGGGCTCAACTGAGAAGGGCCGGCGGGCGGGAAGCGACGTGTCCGCCATCCCAGCGCTCTGACCGCGCAGCGGGTTGGTGACGGAAGAGAATTACTCGTTACACTACAGAGTACAGAAGACAAAATAAAAAAATTCAAGAATAGTAGGAGCATGCTTTTGCGTCCATAATGAATGGCTCTGGTATTTTCTTTTCTTTTTTTTTTTCTTCGCTATCTGGATTTCCCTACATACTATATGTCCCAAGTCCTGAATCAAACCTAACTCTTCGCCTGGGGGGTATAATGTTATAAACAGACTTATGCTAATATATCCAAGAGAAGAATGCCCAGCAATTCTTTTTGTTGCAGAAACAGAAGACACTTGCGTGTGGTATATCTCGGGAGAACAGAAAAAAAAAACATTGGAAAAAAGAAAATGTTCCGCTGGAATCGACGTAATCAGCCCAGCAAAAGGAGGGACAACATAAAAAGAAAACATAAGCAACGGCTGTCCAAAATGCGAAAAATAGTATGAATGGGGAGGGGAGGTCATGGGTATTCTGCACAATGGCTAGTCAAAAATCGAAAAGTAGGAAAGAAAACCGCGAAAAACATGGTCATGTCGTCGTTAAGTCATTATGAGTCGGCAATTGGGAAAAGGACAGTGAAACCCTCCGTTAAGGAAAAACCAAGGAATGTTCACCTGCACCTTATTTAGGTGCAGTGAAGGAGGTATTATGTACAGAATGATCTGTTGGGTTCATAGAAGCGGCAAAGGTATCGGCATAAAGAGGGGGATTGACGACTCAGATCATATTCCCGTTCATGCCGATCTCATTGCCTCCTTCTTTGCCCTTCTTCAGGGCTTTGGCGAGCATCAACTCTCGCATCCAGTTAATCCGCTCATCGCGCGTCTTGACGGCGAAATGGTGGCTCTTGGATCCGAGGAAGAGCGATTTTTTCTCTCCCGAAGTGGGGACCAGCGAGAAGGCGAAGGCGGTTTCGTCCAGCCCCTTGTGCGATCCGCTTTGGGAGAGACTGGCAGCCTTTTTCAGCGCCGACCGCTTGAATGCGGCGGTGATCTTAGAGCTGCTGGCCAGAGAGGAGCAGGCGACAGCGTAGTCGTCTACGTCGATTGTCTCGAGGGTTCGAGAGTCGCGCTCGTCCTTATGCATAGCAAGGACGGTGCCTTTGAGAGTGAAGTGTGCGTCGTGCCATTCGTGGCGAAGAAGCTTCGTTTTTCGCTTCTTCATCCACCCGCTGTGCGAGACATCCGGATCCTTTGGAGTCCCTGTGGCGGGCCGGGCAAGCTCGGCAGTTGGGTTTGGCAACGCAGCTGGTTGCGGCTGCAATGGAGTGAGAGCAGGTCTGAACTCAGATGGACTGTTGATGGGCAGCAGGACTCTATCTTCTGCAAGAGGCTCCATTGTCGCAAATGAGGGCCGTTGACGATGGTAGTCCGGTCGTACAGATTGCGGGCGGTAGATTGGGTCGGCAGCCGGCGATTGAAAAGTACCATATCTCATGTTGGGCGGGACGGATTGTGAAACATCGCGGTCCAATGGATCGATGGGCATGGCAGTCACTGGAGCATCCACCTCAGAAAAGGGGGTCACTTGACGAAGGACGTCGTGGCCGTCGAATTGATACGGGTGCGTCTCTTGTGTTGCAGTTGCCGATCCCATGAGTCGTGAGCCCATATAAGGGGTGATCGTTCGGTCCGGGGAGTAAGCAGCATTCACCGACGCACTTCGGGGGATGACGAGTCTCGGAAGCGTGTGAAGCTGGGTGGCTATATGAGCGGGTGTCGATGAAGATACAGGAGGTGAGAGTGGAGGAAACATTTGCAAGGCAGGCTGCTCGTCTTCAGGCCTGATGTGATGCTGAATATGCTGGAAGCTCAGGAATTGCCGGACGTTTTCTTGTGGATCCCTGGGCTGGACGCCGTTGAGATTCTCAGCGTTGAGCCGGAGTTCTGGCATCTGCGAAGGACCGAGGACATCAGACGAGGCCACGACGGAGGTGGTGACGTCGGACTGTGGTCGAATGCCATTGTTGTCTGCCTTGACGGGGCTGGACAGTTTGACGGAGACGAGGTCATCCCTGACCTGTGCAAATTCGTTGGGGAACTCTTTGGCGATGCGGGCAATTCTCCTCTGGCGTCTTTGATATTTTGGGCAGTTCTCTCCCTTGGAACACTTGTGTGGCTTGGGGATCAACTGTTCGATGGCAACGATGGAGACGGATTCTCCTGGAGAGATAACGTCCTTCTCTGAAACCACACGGTTTCGTCGATGCTGACGAGAGGTATCTCTGTCGCTAGCTGGGGAGTGGCCAGTGAAGTCCTTGCTCCCACCCCTTCTCACAGAGGCGGATCGACTCACTCTAGGCGACGAGATCTCGTTTGGATTGGTGGGAGCACCAGCACGAAGATTCTGAATCATGTTCATCAGGCGGTGACGCTTTCCAAAAGACTGGATATCGAGTTCCTTCAGGTCCTCGATCTGGAGGTCCAGAAGCACGGCGCCCGAGATGTCGTTTTCAATGAAGCGTTCAACGACCATGTCCTCGAGCCCCGCCTCGTACATCCACTCTGCAACCTGGGCTGGAGTCCATGCATAAACATCGGCCAGGTCCTGGTGTGGTGACATGCGAGATATGCTCATGCCGCTACCAGGCCTGAAATCGTCGACTGGCGGCCTGTTATCAAAGATCTTCTCGTTGAAAACAATGGCCGAGGTCCTGACGTTATCCATGGTGTCTGGCGAGATGGATACCTGCCAGTCATGGTCGTCCTGCCTGCCTGATACGGATGCATCGAGAGAAGCCCGGAAGAGATGGGGCCCGGATGGCCCTTGGACCGGCTTACTTGACTCCAGACCCAGGCTGAAGGCCGTTTCCAGGGCACTTGGAGTGGGCAGGTCATCTGGCGTGGAGAGGGTCGTTGAGCTGCCATGACCCAGCTGTTTTGACTGCAGGTTAGAGAGGCAGTTCACAGCATGATCAGTCGGGGAATAGAGGGAGGGCATACCGATTCTACACTTCGCCGGGGCGAGTCGACGTCGGAGAATTCATCTTCAAAGTCGGTGTCCAGAATCTCGGTTGCATCAGAGAGCGGCCGCGGGTGGATGGAGGAGCGGGCAGGAAGCAGCAGAAGGGAGTTGGTGGGCTTCTGCAGCATGCGCACGCCGGCGGGCTGGGAGTGAGGGAGTTGGTAGGTGGTCATCTGGAGGTTCGTCCCATTAACAATTGGCAATTCCAAACCAGGCCGTGCATTGTATAACTGCCTACCATGATGGAAACGAGAGAACGGGGGACCGAGCCAGTCAGAAGAAGGCAGCGAAAACGAAGGGAGATTTAAGGAAATCCCATCACAGTGCAGCGCAACTACACTGGGCCACGGCAACCACGGGGGAGGGCGAGAGAGCAGCGGGCGGGCCAGCGGGGGGGGAGAGCTATGGGGTGGTGGTCTAGAGGAAGAGGGAGCGGAAGGAGTCAGATTTGGGCGGATGCAGGATTCCACGGGGCAGACGACAATATATCTGAAATGGTCCAATGCACTGATCGCCAGGGAGGGGCGGGAGGCGAGGGCGCTTGGGGGGGGGGGGGAAGGTAGGGGTTATAAAAGGCAAGTCCAACGGGCGGGCGAGTGGCAGCGTGTTGGAGGCCAGAGAACATGCATCGACGGTGCTATTACGGGCGGGGGGGGGGGGGAAGGGGGGGGGGGGGGGGGGGTTGGGGGCGGGGGGTGGGGGGGGGGG